TGAATTTTATCCCACTTTGGAGACAAGATTCAATGAGTGTTACCCCATACTTTGGAAGTGGATGTTGCTAGGAAGCTTCCTCATGTTCACATTCAATGTATTATGTATTTTCTCCTTCCCCTCTCCCTATATAACTCAGGCCATATGGCCATTGTAACCCATCTTTGAATATTGAAAACCATTTACTCTTTGAGTATTATTAAAATAGTGTGATGCTATTTTAGCCAAATTCCTAATTCTATATCTTAAGAGTGGTTATCTTAAGTGTGAGTTTTAGGTTCTAGATATTTGATTAAGTGTGTAGTATCTTAATTGAATTCTAGATTCAAACCCCAAGTTAGGATAAGAGTGTGTAATATCTCCTAACACCAACTTGGTTTTATCCATCCGTGATATTTCTTCCATTTCATATCCCTCCATTTCTCCTTAATCCTATTCATTTTCTTCCATAAAATACCAAAAATAGAACTTCTAAAACACCCTCCATACTTTCGCCCACTATTTCCCTTCCATTTTCCTCCGCACATCCGCCACTAAAATAACAACTTGATAAGACCCCCCGGTTCACCCCTAACACATCAGATCTTCATGGCAAAGGAAGATGAGGAGAAGACTTCTTTCTTAACTCCTGAATGCACATATTGCTACCGGGTGATAGCTTTTGGACTTAAGAATTCAGGCGCTACTTATCAGAGGATGGTAAATTGGCTTTTCAAGCCACTCCTTGGTAAGTCCATGGAAGCCTACGTTGATGACATGATGATCAAGAGCCCGGGAGCAACGAACCACCTGGCTGATATGAGGCTCTGTTTTGAGATCATGGCTAAATACAACCTACGCCTCAACCCCAAGAAATGCGTCTTTGCTGTAAAGACCGGCAAGTTTTTGGGGTTCATGGTAACCAAGCGAGGTATTGAGCCTAATCCCGAAAAGATTAAAGCCATTACCAAGATGAGGTTGCCCGGCTCCCTGAAAGATGTGCAGCGACTAACCGGGCGGCTGGCAGCTTTGAGCCGTTTCCTTTCCCGATCAGCTAAAAGAGCCTTGCCCTTCTTCAAAGTCTTGAAGAAGGCCAACTCGTTTGAATGAGACCGGGAGTGTGAAGAAGCTTTCGAGCAGCTGAAGGGGTACTTAGTTTCTGATATAGTTTTGTCTAAGCCCAAACCGGGTGAAACTCTGTACTTGTATCTGGGCATATCCCAAAACGCTGTAAGCTCTATTTTGATAAGAAATGAAGACGGCCAGAGGCCTATTTACTACGTGAGCAAAGCACTTAATGGGGTAGAAAGCCGTTATACTGCCATTGAAAAAACAGCGCATGCACTTTTCATAACGGCCAAAAAACTGACCGCGTACTTCCAAGCTCACACTGTGGAAGTACTGACCAATCAGCCACTTGGGCTGGTCCTCCGAAATTCAACCTCTTCAGGACGGATGATCAAGTGGGCAATGATGCTCACTCAGTTCAAAATCGAATATAAACCTAGAACCGCGATCAAGGGTCAAGCTCTGGTCGACTTCCTTGTTGAACTGACCGGTCTGGAGCCTGAAGCCGAACCTTCCCATACGGTCGAACCGTGGTGGGACATGGCCGTTGATGGGGCCTCTAGACCGAAGGGATGCGGAGATGGCATAGTCTTTACTACTCTAGAAGGGTTCAAAATCTACCATGCCTTGGTTTTTAACTTCAAGCTCACCAACAACGAGGCGGAGTACGAGGTATTAGCCGGTGGCCTCAGATTAGCCCGGGCACTCGGGATTAAGAGAATGAAGATCCGATCCGATTCGAGCCTGGTCGTCGGCCAGATCAATGGCGAGATGGAGGTCAAAGAAGAACGTTTGCCCGGTACAGTGACCTGGTCCGAGCACTTCTAAGGGAATTAGAAGAGTTTCGTCTTACCCGGATACCCCGGTCAGAAAACACTGACGCTGATATGCTTTCAAAATTAATGCAAGCTTGCCCGGAGCATGTCTGAAAGTTGGCCAAAATCGAGATATTGGACCAACCTAGCGCTGACCGGTTTGAAGTCGCAGCCATTCAGCAGGGTCAGAGCTCAGCTACCGGGGTGATCGAAGTGGACGATGATTGGAGATACGATCTCATGGAGTATTTAATGACCGGCCAGAAACCGGACGACGAAGAACGAGCCAGGAAGGTTGTCTTACGGGCACCCCGGTTCCAAGTACTGGACGGGCACTTATACAAATGTGCCATTGGAGGTCCTCTACTGCGTTGTCTCACCAACTGAGAAGCAGAACGGGTGATAGCCGAGGTGCATGAGGGGGTTTGTGCGGCACATCAAATGTCTCGTACGTTGGCTCAAAGGATAATACTGCTCGGCTACTATTGGCTGACCATTATTAGGGATTGTGAACGGTATGTGCAAAAATGTAGGACGTGCCAAGTTTTTTACAAACATCCCGGCAGACCGGCCACATATTACCAACCAACCTCTAATGTCATACCCTTTGCCCGGTTTGGAATTGACATTATTGGGGCTTTCCCGGTCGCTCAAGGCGGGAAGAAATTCGTCATGGTCGCCATAGATTACTTCACAAAATGGATTGAAGCTGAGGCGATGGCCACCATAACCGTACGGTAGTGTGAGAAATTCGTTTTGAAGAATATTGTTACCCGGTTCGGAGCCCCAAAAATGATTGTCACCGACAACGGCCCACAATTTCGCAACCCCCGGTTCACAGCGTACTTGGCCAGCTTTAGAATCAAGCACAACAAGAAGTCAGTAGCGTATCCACAAGGAAATGGCCAAGTGGAAAATGCTAACCGGACAATAGTGGACGGGCTGAAGAAGAGGCTGGGAGAAGAAGGACGCAAATGGTTGGAAGCACTACCTTGTTAGACAAATGTGCAACTCTAGAGGGGGGGTGAATAGAGTTGTTTTCAAGAATGTGCGTTTTTCGCGTGTGTGAAATAATAAGATCGCAGGAATAAATAAAGAGAGTAAGGGAAAGAAGAACACCGAGATTTCTACTGGTTCACCACCTCGTGGCTAGTCCAGTCCTCCGAGAGACTCTCTCGAAAGTCCTACTAATCTTCAAGCTTCAACGGGTGCTTGAAAAACCGGTACACCTTGAGAACTTGAATCACACAAGCCTCACTTTCTTACAACAACAAGACTTGAGTCACACAAGTCTTAAGAACAACACTCAAATGAGATTGAGTTTACAACACAAGAATGAAAGCTCACACAATTGAGCAAAGTAGTGTTGAAGAATTAAAGCTCTATGGATGACAACTTCTTTAGCACTCAAAGAAAATATTTCTAACTCTCAAAAATAATATTTTGATGAGGAAGATGAAGCAAAGGATGAATATAGCTCAAAGAATATATTGGAGTGCAAGAGATGTGTGTGGAAATGAAGGAGAATGAGGGATTAAATAGGCTGAGGAAAATAAA